CAAAGATGAAGAATACAAAGAATATTAATGACTAACAAGTCTGTCTGTAAATGCCATGAGCTTAGCTGTAGTAGGGACTAAAAGGAAGAACAGTACTGCTATTAACTAATAAGTTTCTGATCTAACAAGCAATGATGAAGGCTGATTGGGTCATCTATGGAAAGGAACATGAGTTCTGAAGAACACAGGTTCCCTACAGAGGACAAAAGGAAAGAGGGAAAGATGCCATTATGTACGTGTAAAAGCTCAGGAAGGTTGTGGTTCATTCACAAAGCATGTAAAGGCAGTAAATTCCCAATTAGGGCTTGTCTGTCCCTCACACGTTTGTATGCACAGGTACTGCTGTCCTGTGGGAAACTCCAGAATTGCTGCAAATTTGTCACTTACCTTGTACTACAGAACACTGGATTTGGATGAACTGAATTTTCTAAAGGGAAAATTCAAAACACACAGAAACTTGCCTTTGTCACATTTTATTGGACCCAACATGAGTCTGCCTGGGCCCCAACAGCTTCCCAGTACACTGGCATCCCACTGTGGGTCTGGGAAGGTCTTATGGACCAGGGGCAGAGTAGCAAGGGAGGGAGGCAGGCACTGGCCTCTCCCCCCTGCACTGCCCTGCATGAGCACAGCACGTTCCTCTAGGTTTGAAGTTAATCCATTCTCTCTTGAGAAATTCTTCTAATTTAAGAAGTGAAGCACAACAAAACCAGGAAGAAGAAGAAAAAACAAAACACCTCGGAGCTGAAAATGACAGGATGCCAACTTCAGATTTGGGAACTGATTCATTTGCCAGCTCACAGGCACGCACACCTAGCGTGTCTATATTTATATGCATGGACTTGGGCTCCCTGCTCTGTAGAGGCATTGAGTATTTTTAAATCAGTGAGAAATCAAGAATCACTGCAGTTAGAGGAGATGGAAAAAATCCCCTTTTTCTAAGCTCAGATAAGAGAAATCTTGACGCAGCAGCTCTGCCTGCAACATCCAGCAAGGCTGAGAGCCAGCACGGACACACAATTTTCTCTGAGATTCCTTCCCTTAACAGGCCACTGCTCACTCCTGTAGACAGACTATTTTGCATTGGAGTCTGACCCAGCAGATAATATGAGAAGCCTCTGTGTCAGGACACAAATCTGGGGAGCATTCTGACCGTGTGAAAGATGGCAGAAAGAACCCAGTACTGCCAGAGAGCTGCTGCCTTACTGGGCTGGGAATTCAAAGCCCCAGGTTCAATGCCCAGCTTTACCCATAACCCACAGTGGTCTCACCAAACATCGCCAAACTCTCTCAGCATCCCCTTCTGGAAAAAGGGGATAATAACACGTCTCAGCAGCATCACAAAGGTTTGTTAATGCTTGCAAGCACTTTGTAGATAAGGAACATCAAGACCGCAGTTAGCGGAGGGATTTGGGGCACAGACAGACATAAATCCAAAGCACTCATATCATACACTTTTTAGACAAGCATAGCAGCAGATGTGCTCCCTGCATTTAGTGGTTGTGGGCTCCATCCTCTCAACAGACTGAGCACTCTTGTCTTTGATCCCAAAAATGAGTCCGTGGAGAATATTCACATGTTTAATGTTAATCATATGCTTAAATCCTCTGAATCTATAAAGAGGGTAAAGGAGAAAAGTGTTCCCCAGTTCCAAAACAAACACACATTCCCAGAAGTTATATTTAGGACATGAGTAAACATTCGACCAGCAAAGGCCTTCACTATACACCTGCTAAGCTTCTGCATCCCTGAGGAAACCTGCAGGTGGGGAAAGCATCCAGAGGGAGTTTGCTTAGACAAAATCTCTCAAACACAACCAGCATGTTGCTATGTGATAGAAGCATCCCAGAGATTTGAACTTGTGATTCTGGATTCATTTGCAACTATTAATTCCCTCATTTATTAACTGTCTGTTGTGAGGGAAGAGGCCTTCCTCTGAGGACACTGCCACCCAGTCCTCTCAAACTCCTTGTGCCATTGGCAGCACCTAGAAAGCATCTTCTCCTAACTCTGCATCAGAGAGGAACAATACTAAGCAAAAGGCATTGGATTCCCCTTAAAGCCTTGTTCACTGTCAGCACTGGCTGCTCTCTCTCTCATCTTTACTATCTGAAACATCTAACTCAATTTACATCCTGGTAAACTCCTGGCCAAGCTAATGGCTTGGGGCTACCAGTCTCCTAAGCCAGCTGGCCAGGGTGTCCGTAAGCCTCTGCTCTTGCATCAACCCCACCTTTACTCAGATCCTTTCCTGCAGATGGATCGAGTCAGTGGAGTGAGGGCACAACTCCTTTTGCACAGGTTTGCTCAGCAGAGCAAAAGCAGGTACCTGCAGCACTAGGATGCACCGAGCTCCAGACGCTCCTGCAGAGCAAAGCACTCCCAGCCACATCCACGGCTGCAGAGTGGACACAGCCCTGACCAGATGAGCATCTGCAGCACAAACATACAACTGGCATCCAGAGATCATTTTCAGAGCCCTGTCAAACAAGAAAAGCCTCAGGCAACCAAAGGACCACTATCCAGAGCTTCACTGCTATAGCAGATCCGTAAACATTATCCAGCTTACTCACAGCAACATCACATTTTGCCAGCAATGTGAAAAGGACACTCTCACCAGTGTAAATTGCCCAGGATGCTAAATAAGGCTGCTAATTACTTCTGAGGATTTTTAAAGAATCCTTTAAGATTACTGTCCTCAAATTTGATTAAATAATGCTATAAATCCTTTCAACTGAGAAGCATCAGATGAAGTTGACTTGATGGTATAAAAGAAATGTTTTCTCCTCAAGCAATGGCTTTCTGAGAAGTGTGCTGTATTTTACAGTACACAGCACTAAACCAGAGGGGGCTGTTCCATTTGCACCTTGCAAAGGGTTAATAAGGTGTTTATCTTCCTTGTTTGGCTCAATTAGAACTATACAAAATGCCAGTGTATTTCTACCTTCACCTGCCCTAAACCAAGAACCACAAGGGATGGTATCACATTGCTGGGTGAGGCTGTAAGAAGTCCAAGGGAAGTTAACACAGCGCTAGAAATGCTGGTTATGCTTCTCCACTTCCTTTGCAAGACACTTTGCTGTTCCACGGTTTGCAGCTACTAAGGAACAACATGAAGTTCATTGCTGTTGCAGCTCATCAGCACGACCTGGCAAAGCCCACCACTGGGGAAGCCCTCTGGAGAGGACTGAAAGCCCCAGGTGACACTTCCATGACTTTATCAACAATTCCATGGAGGAAGAAGCACTATCTCTTATGATAGGGTAAGGTACAAGGCATAACTTGTCAGAGAATCTCACACAATAAGCGAAGACCTCTTAGACATCTCTGGTGCCTTTGTGTTGTTTGGTGCCTCCATTAATATCACCCAGGAGGTCAGACTTACCAGGCACTCTTCCCTGGCTAGACCCTTGACTCTCCCTCTGCTCTACCAGTTCTTTGTTGGAATATGTGAAGAGCCAGAGGGTAACAAAGGAATGCTCTCCCCATCCTCACCCCATAACCCAGTCATCCTTCCCCATTCCACACAGGCAACCCACTCCTTCTCCCATCCCTGACAAAACAGATGAGATTAAAAGAGTCCTGGAAAGCAGAGCACCAGCACGATGCATCTTTCAGTGCTGAAGAGGGCAGACACACCTTCAGGCACAAGGTGCTCCTGGCTGCACCACAGAGCACAGGTATCCCACATCCAGGACTGCTGGAATACACCTTTTACACTACACTGGCTTGGGAACAATAATTAAGCCCCAGAGTAATTTCTTTTTGATCGACAGCTCTAACTCCTGAGTGATTCCCATTAAGTCAATTCCCAATGCCTTAAATAAGCAGCCCATGAAGCTACTAAATCAATGACAGTCTTTTTATCTGGGAAATAGCTGTCTAGGAAATTTCTTCTGTGCAATAGAAGTGTCAGTACTTTAGGTTTCAGTAACATGATAAGATGTGCCATCACCAGCTTACTCAATAGAGGCAGAGACCATCAGGTCTAGAGAATACAATCCAAGCACTAGTGGTCCCTTCACTTCTCTTTTTCCCCTCATCTCCCAGCGTTTCATCCTGTGCCAGAGGGATCAGTGCCCAGTGTGGGTCCTCACAAAAGCCACCGAAACGCCCCAGGCTATAGGATGTCACCCAGGAACACTGTGGGTATTAAAGGCACCACTGCGGGATGAGGTCTGTGCAGCTGCTCCCCCGTCCTATTAATTGGGTACTATGGACACGCTCCTGCCGTAAGCACATCTTTGACATAACATAGCATGACAATTTCTTCAGAGTCACAGAAATGCAGAGCATACAAATAAACCTGAATGCTGAAACCATTTCATTGTTCATAAGAACGTGCACGTTGCACCTGTTAACGACCAAGGGCTGTGTCTGTGCCTTGCAGCTGATTATTTCAGCCTCTAACAAGCCTGTCTTGGAGGACTGTTAAATTCCAGGAGTAAATAGAGCAACAGCAAAATTATTTTACAACAAGAAATCATTACCGAATATACACAGAGAGAGGTCTTTAAATCCCAGGCAAAGAAAACAACCCTCATACTGACATTTTTCCCCGGAGCTTCTCACAACCGCTGAGTCAGTTTAAATTAAATTTGGCTGAAACAAAATAACTCCGAGACCGATACTGGTAAAGTCCTACCATGAAACAAATGTTCGGGACCCCAACTGCACGGGGACTCCGGATAGAGAGGGAGGCAGGACGCTGACGCGGCACAACCGGGGAGCGCTCCCCCAAAAACGCCGTCCCGGCGGGAGGGACCGGGCGGCAGCGCCGGGGGAGCCGCGGCCGCCGCAGGGAGCAGGTGGCAGGGCCGGTCCCCGCAGCCCAGCCCATCCCATCCCATCCCAGCCCCGCCGCCAGCACGGGGCGAGGCGGGGGGGCGATGTTTTCCGCGGAGAGAGGGACGCGGAGGAGCGCGGGATCGGCGGCTGCGGCAGCGCGGAGCGGGCAGGGCAGGGCAGGGCGCGGCGGAGGGGACGGGGATGGGACTCACCGAGCTACGCGCGGCTGCTGCCCCCGCTGCC